GGTTTCTGACAGGCATTTTTTTGCTAAATTTAGTACTTTTTGTTTCAACAATAGAATTTTATGGGTTTTATGTCAAGTTACTCATGGTTTCTAATATTAATAACATCCCATATAAGTTTATGTAAATTTTATCATTAAATATGCATAATTTATGCTAATTTGATGACGTCATTGGACAAAATCCAAGATGGCGGACCATATCATTAGAACAGGTATATACAGGTTATTTTCATTAAAATTTCATCAATACTTCCATTTCTTTTTCCAAAAAAGGTTTCAATGAAGGTCTTTAGTATGTTTACAATGTATTTTAGGCTTTATCATGAAAAAAACTATTTTTGAAAATTCAAGATTCATGATCCAAGATGGCGGATATCTTAAATATGCATGACGTCATTTTATGACGTCACCGGTGTTGCTATGGGCAACATAAGACTTAGTACACCATAATATTCTGTCATAAACACTTTTGGTACAGTTATGTTGAATACCATTTAGTTTTCAGGGAAAAACCTATTTAGACGGTTTTGGCCAATAAAATCACATTAATGACGTCATAATGACGTCATATTACGTCATAACGACATAAAAATTGTAGATATGATAAATCTTCACTAGTACACCATTCTCTGAAAATTTGGTGGTCATACGACATACCGTTCGCGAGTTCTTAGGGGGGTCAAAAGAGCCCCCCCCCCCCCGGTTTCCCCATGTCAAAAAAAGCCCGGTCTAGGTAGGGTTAATAGGATAAGTCATGATGGAAAAATAGAATAACAGAAAATCGACAGCATGAATGCTACTACTATTCATCTGTTCGTTGGTACATTACAGTATGAAGGTGGATAAAACTTTTAAGAATATGGATGACCCCGATGTAAAAAGCGTCTTTGAGCTTACATGAAATGAAATTTAGAAGCCTTCGTCAACAAGGCTATGGGGTCAGTCTGATTTTTGTAGGAGACTGTGGATTTAGCAGCATAACTTCTAAAAGGCATAGTTCGATAATTATTATTTTGTCAGGAAGGTTACCGCTGTAGAGACCAAGGCCATGTGCAGATTTGGTCCCTACCTGAATGCAGTTGCCCTTTTGTATTTTTCGCTTGTTAAAGGATAACTCGAGTATATTTAAATGGATGCTCTTGATTTTTGGTAGGCAGGTTACAGCTGTAAAGTTACATGAATTTGCATCCAAAAAAATGCAAGGCCATGCATGTGTACTTTACAACCCCCCCTCCTCTCCCAGTCTTATACATTGACGGCCATGCACCTCAAGAAGCCTCAGTAGCCAAGCTGTTAGGGGTCATGGTGCAATCTGACCTCAGATGGAACACGCACGTAAACCACATCACCAGTCAAAGCAGCAGACGTCTCTTTCTCCTACGACACCTGAAAAGGTTCAGACTACCAGTGTCTGACCTGGTGACTGTGTACGTAAGTTACGTACGTCGCCTGTGTGAATACGCCTGCCCTGTCTGGGGCCGGCCGGCCCCGGACTGACTTCCACCCAGATAGCCCAGATAGAGAACATTCAGCGCCGGGCATGTCGCATCATACTTGACAAAGACTACTCCCAGTACTCGGACGCATGCAGTCTCCTAGGTCTACCTTCACTCCAGGAAAGACGTAAACAGCTGATCCTGAAGTTCGGACGCGGTCTGATGGAGTCCCCGACATTCAGACAGTGGCTGCCTCCTACTCGAGGAGAGACCAGCGGTAGAGACACTAGATCTAGCCACAAACTGAACACTGTCACTGCCAGAACTGAACGATTTAAAAACAGTGCAATACCGCATATCGTGCGACTACTGAATGAGAACTGAGACTGATACTTATATATTTTACCGCTCAAAGACTCTTTTAGCCTGCCTGTAATTTTTGTGCAATTCTGATATTTTAAATGAACGACCTTTAACGTATCTTATATTAATAATTAATGACGTATAATGATTTTAATGTGCGCTAACTTTTTTATTAATCAATCAATTATGTAATTGTCAGAGCAATTCAGGTCCCAATAACGGAGCCTGCCATTCTGTACAAGTGACAAATGCAAGACGAATAAACCATTATTAAAATTAAAGACCAAGGCTAAGTTCGTAAACGGGCCTCGTGGGGGTCCCTACGTAATTTCAGGAGAACTTTTGTGTTTAGAAAACAAACGATCTTCCCCACCAACCTGCTTGGAGACAGCTGACAGTTGGCCATGAAGAACCCCATAGCCAGATCAAACGTTACAAAATATTAAGGGATTATTCTATAACTTCAGCGGGAAGAGGAAAGGATGGACATGCACGCGTCAGGTATTCCCTACGGCCACACCAAGTACATTCAATGGATGATGTCCACTGGAGACCTTAGATTTAATGCAAAAGCGCGATAAAAAAACATGAAGAGCCGGAAAAACAAGATGCTTAAATTGGGAATATACTAACTGTAGAAATAAAAATGTTATGACACAAATTAGATAAAACAACACAGTGTAACAAGTCTTCTATTCATTATGAAAAACTTCAACTGTTCTCCAACTCAAAATTTGACTCACCAGAAATTTTCGACTGAATCACTCAGTCTTCCTCAGCTATCTGACCCAAATGCTGGGGACACGTGATTTTTCCCACGTGTGACGTCAGCAAAGGGTCAAAGTTTGTCTGAAGTCGATATCGCCCCACGTGGGAAAAATCACGTGTCCACAGCATTTGGGTCAGATAGCTGAGGAAGACTGAGTGATTCAGTCGAAAATTTCTGGTGAGTCAAATTTTGAGTTGGAGAACAGTTGAAGTTTTTCATAATGTAATTTACCAGCTCAGATGAACTTTCATGCTGAAGTCTTCTATTCGTCATAAAAATAAATCAACTAAACAGCGGTAGTTGCCCTGTTCTATTAAAAATCCTTTCCTTTCATTAAATCTTCTCCTATTTTTTTTCGCGACACTATCGTGACACCTTGATCATAATACAGAAAGCAGAATTTCTTGTATCAGTTATTTTAGTGGAATGGGGGTCTTACACCCTTAAATTTCATGATTTGAATATGATACAGTTTTTGGTCAAGCAGAGAGCGTAGAAAGGTCGCTGCAGAGATTTAATTTGATCATGCTTTTGTGGAGTTTGGCGTTCTCAAGAGGAATAAGGGTATAAGTAATCACATTTCCTGTCGGCTCGCAAATTGGACGAATGATCCACAATCCGTAACACCTATCCTATTGGCCCTCGTCCCTTTATCTCGTCGCCACCTCTTGTGAGCGGTTGAGTACCCTCCCCACCCACCTACCCTTCCTTTCAACACTAACCCGGTCGCCCGTTTTCCTCTCCTTTGCCTACAAAGTGTTCTTACGATAGCTTTAAACGTTACTTTGCCGCTAGCTTAGCGGTACCCCGCCCCCCGCGTGTACACTATATGACATCCAGTAGATTTCTAGCGGGGACCAATCAGAGGGCTGCTGACAGGCAACCGACTAGCGGCTATTAGCACCTTGTTTCATGTAAATGCCATGAACTCAACCAGAGCGCATATATTGTTTCTTGTTTACTTCAGTACTAAGTACTAGTACTTCCACAATCAGTTTGTAAAATCATACCTTAGTTTTGTAAAATCATACCTTAGTAAAATCTACTTTGATGAACGAATCGAAACGGGACTGTACCGATCACAACGGGAAGGAACAGATCTTAGCGAAGCCGAACTGTGGAACCTTAAACTACTGTGTGTTTGTTTAACTACTGTGTGTTTGTTTGCGTCAGCGGAAAGGCTGCCGAAGTAACCACTACATGGAAAATTGCGGTGAAAAAGTAACATGGGATCGTCCCAAATCTGGACGCAAGTAGTGAGCTACAAAAGTAATAGAACCTATGCATCTTGCTTGTTGCTGTCAACTTACCCGTTAAAGATTGAACCGATACATGTGCCTACTATAACTTGCCATACCCTGCCAAACACGACTACATAGTACATTACTGTTACTCTTCAATGATAGCGTTACATTAGCTATCATTGTCATTTCTGTGAATTCCTAAAACATCTACTGTTAGTTTGTGTAACATTACATTATCTGCGTAAAAAGTAGGCTTCATTGCGTGTTAACTGCTAAGTCGTCATGGTATTGAAAACTGTTTCATTGTGCCGTTCTTCTACAGATTTATGAAGATACCCGTTTTCAATACACAAGCTGCAAACTAAAGTAATGGCAGTCCTACGAAAATTCTCTATGTAATGTATAAGCGCTTTATATCGACGAACAATGGTTGTGAAGTACGTGTTTTGGCACATCTTGTGCCACCGGATCAGTGGTAATTGGCTACTCTACAAGTCAAAGAACCGGGTCCGTGGGCCATGATAAATTATTCATAAATCGGTCGCCGCTAGAAATCTACTGGATGGCATTCAGTGACGACCCCCCCCCCCCCCCCCGTGCATTTTATGGTCTTAATCGTGTGGACGTGCGACCCACGTAACTGTCCATTTCATCACTGCGTTAAGAGACATATATTTTCAACATCTGACATGTTTTAATTTACGATCATTTATCACCCTGCCCTGGCTCCGTGCCCTTCCCTTTCTTGGCTTCCATTTATTCATGTACTTTCCCCTTGTTTGTATACTGATATTCGAGCTTATCTTATAATCCCGGTTCGTTAAGCATGATGTAAACCGTTTATCTACCTAGCAATTTCTCACATGTGCTAAACAATGTAAACTGTGTATTTTGCCCTGTATTGCCGTGTCGATATCCACTGATATACTCCCGGTAATGTAAACTGGTCCCTCCCAATGTATACTACGATGCTTTGTTTATATCACTTTACGCCAAGTGTTGTCAATCTCCCACCATTGTACCATTGCGATCCCCTACTTGGGATAATGTCTACTGCTTACTTGACCCCGTACTAACCATCGTGTCAACCATTTTTCTTTCGATAATGTAACCTATTTTTTATGTGCCTCACAGTCACAGCACTGTAAATTTCACCCCGTGCCAATATCTAGTTTTCTGATCTATACCCTTGTTTATCAAAAAGTTAATAAACACCAGGCAGCGGCGAAAATGAGTTACATGTCACGTCATTCTATCCACTTGTTAAATCACTAATGACTGACAAGTTTTTATTAACACAGTGTATTGTGCAAGATTCTATAAACATTTCTCTTACTGTTGCCATACATTTGCAGATACAACAGTTCCAACGATTGAATGTCCAAACGACATACACGTATCTGTGCCACCACTGGAGACGACAGCCGCCGTGTCCTGGATCGAGCCAATAGCACATGACAACAGAGATCCACACGTTTCGTACGTACAGTGACACAAGCGATATTGATTAGAGTATCTGCACATGTTTTCTTTTAAATTCAACCACAGACGAGAAAAATACATGTTGGTAATTACTATATAAAGTATAGTGCTGCAGCTATCCACAAATGCCATGAATATCTCAGTACAACACGTGTACACACACACGTGCAAAGACACACGCGCACACAAACACACACACACACAGATACACACACACACACACACACACACACACACACACACACACACACACACACACCCTAAGAGACAGCGAAGGTGTTGGAGAGTGGAAAAACAGAAAGAGAGATAGAGGGACTGGCAGCACCATACATACTGCAATTCACATATAGGGAAATATGTTTTTAACACACATCACTCAGTCCTCTTGCACGATGTGCGTCGAGCCAACTAGCTATATATATAGGCTGGCCACCTCCCTCCATCTCGATCTGTCCTGGGCGAGCCCCTGCACTTCTTCGGGAGTGATGCTGACCAGGGCCAAGTCCTTGGCCAGGACGTCCGTCCAGCGGGTGCGGGGGGGCCCCGAGGTCTCTTTCACCCAGCAGACTGGGGGCTGAAGTTCAAGATAGCCCGTGTAGTGTGGTCGGGTGGGAGTCGTAGGACATGTCCGTACCAGCGGACTCGGCGCATCGCTGCCACACGGGAAGCAGGAGGCTGCTGGGTCCTTTGCCTGAGCTCGGTGCCAGGCAGGTGGTCGAACCAGCGTACTCCCAGAATCCTCCTGAGACATCTACTGTCGAAGCCGTCGAGTCTAGCCTTTTAACACACATACCTTAATTAAATCATTTTAGTACAACAACGCAAATCTTAAACTTAACCGGAACAAGGCAGAAAAGGACAGCCAGCGAAAAGGTAAAATCTAATATAGATAGATATGCAGCTTCAATTCTGTCTTTCTGTCACTGTCGATTGCCTAATGTTCCTAATATTCGGTTTGATTTAACTGTTTAACTATAGTAATACATTACTGGTTAGCAGTATAAGGATATAGTAATGACTAATGTACAGTAAGCGGCATAGACCCAACCATTATGGTATCTCTCTCTCTCTCTCTCTCTTTCTCTCTTCTCTCTTCTCTCTCTCTCCTTCTCTCCGTCTCTCTCTCTCTCTCCCTCTCTTTCTCACTCTCTGGCATCGGCCCCAGTCCGAGTCAAAATACAAGACATTTCCAATTCGAGGTTAAGTTCAAAGGATCGGGCCTGCTTGGCAGCACTGGCAGCGTGTCGTCAGCGCGCACATTTTCCCTTCCGACCTTCCCAGTCTCCACGGGTTTTAGTGCCATACATTTTACACGTATCGATTCTTGACTGCTTTTTAAACTCGAGAGATTTACAGAAAACTGTTTATGAAAATTGGCATTAACGATATGTTTTAAAAAATAGGACCAGAAGGGACCCTGAGGAGTTAGAACCAGGTGTAACACTTCACAGTGGGGCGTACCGGCTTACCTATTCTGCAACTGACGCCTCCGGAAACTCCAATTCCTGCTCATTTATCATCACTGTTGGTGGTAAGTAAGGACTTTCATTAAAACATACATTCAAAATTTTACACATTAATGGTATGAATTGATAACCATGTTAGAACAAAGGACCTTGCCAATCTATTACATAAGTGTGATGCTATGGGCAACCGCTTGTTTTCAACTACATTCTGAAATTACCTAAGTAATTACCGAGTAATCGCCAACCAAAACTTCCGTACCGGACGTAAAAAATTATTTATCTTACACATGCCTACACGGTTCACGTGTCGTCGCCTTTTGTGTTTGAAAGATAACGATTTTGCCCCAGCAACCTCTGCTTGGAGCAGGCCTAGCTTGGGAGACAGCTGCTAGGGAACCCCTGGCCAGATAACGTTGTTTACATTTTACGTTGAGGGACTGTTCTATAATCATAACTTCAGCAGGAGGAGGAAAAGTTGGACATAAGGCCACACAAAGTAATCTTAATGGACGACGTCCACTGGAGACCTTAAATTTAATGTGAAAGTGTGATGAAGGGCCGAAAAAACAAGTTCTGGTTCTTTTCTTTCTTTCATCACATCTTCTCTTATCACAGTTTGCGACACTGTCGTGACTCTCTGATCATAATACAGTGAGCAGAATTCCTTGTAACATTTTTTTTTGCCAGGAACAGTCCAAAATCAAATAACGTACGGGGGCGTATCAGGGGTGACGGCGTGTCTGTAAATCTGTGGCGAACCCTTTCAGTGTGCTCCGTAGCATGACAAAGGAGTAGAAAGGATTCTTTTGTATTCTAGACCAAAATGATTATCAAAAAATAAAGAATACACATGTTCATTTCTCTAGAACAATGTACCTCTGACGAAGGCATGCGATCTCCGACCTCTAGTATTGTTTATGTGTTCATTGTTGATCAATAGATGGAAAAGATTATCGACGAATGGAAGAAATAGATTGTTAATGTCATGGTCTGTGTAATACGTGTCCAGATCACAGACATTGACGCCGTTTTGAAGATGGCCACAAAAATAAAAGAAGGGGACCATAGTCAGTTGTTAGAGCCTGAACTTTACCTCAATCTTTAACGTTACGCTGCAATATCTAAAACAGCCGATAGGAGGCCAATTATCGAACTTGGTCTGCGCCTTTCCTGTCCCTACCTAACCAAAAAAATTTATTATCATATAACCAGATAGCGTTCACCAATCAGAGGTCCCCATTTGCCATTGGTTATGACACCATTACACACCCAGAGGTCATTATAATTAAATCCCATAAACATTGAAAATACAGCACAATTAAATTAAATTTGAACAGAACAAAATACAAAACGTAATTTTTGACACCCCCACTAAAAGTGGTACTGTTCCAATGTCACGTGGTCACCGCAGATGATAATCTAGTAGGTGATCTGTTTTTCTGTCCACACAATCTCGTTTCACGTGACATAGTTTTTTCGTAATAGTTTTTTTACGCAACGGAGGAATTTTATAAAGAAATTTGGGTCAAATAACTAAGTACGATAGGCCATATGTTAATAACCTTAATGCCCCGCCTTACCATCGGTGTATATGGTGAGATAATGGAGGGATTATCTCACCATATACACGTACCTCGGGTCGGGGCATTAACCTTTTATTAACAACCATCAGACAACTCTCTGCAGCAACGTAGGAACATGAAAGGATAACCATTTTTGAACTTGAACTTTGTTAACTTTCTGTAACTTCCGCTCACCTTCCAAATATCATAAAGATCCATTCACCAATGTTCGAATTATGCTGTATAAATACAATCGACAAATAGACAAAATCTCCGCTGCGCTGCAGTATTATTGGAAAACGCCAGGTGGACCATTTTGAACTTAAACTACATTTCCACAACTGCTACAAACATGCAAAACAATTTTTAAAAAAAGTCCATCCACAAATACTCCAGTTATGATATTGACCTCAATACGGAGGCACACACAGCTACTACGCCAGGCTCAAACCGAAAATATAACTTAGTATACTTGACATGAGCAACGAGATCTTCTATTTCTTGTATTAATGTATTTTATTGTTTCCCCAGTCACACGGTGCCCACATCCGTCACTCATAATTCCTCAGGTAGAACAAGGGATAATGCTGGTAAGATTCTATCCTGACTCAAACGATATACTTCTTGGAACGACGTTCGTAGCGACTTGCAAACGTGGCTACGCCTTCGGTGACGGCTCCACACAAAACATCAGGACCTGCACGAGTTCTGGAGCATGGGATGGCGCAGACGTTACCTGCAGAGGTAAGTTCGCCTTGTTTCTGCCTTTTTGGATTTCGGATGAGGTGGGACAGTGTCTTAGTGATTTAGCGATTTATTCCAGTTTAAATATATTAATACGATTATTGCATGGATAATACCTACATTGAATTAGTGTACATGACGAAAATATAGCTTTGTCAGGCACATTAAGGCCTCAAAACTGTAAAATAGAAACAACAAAATCAGTACGCATAATTATTACGTTAAGAAATCGTTCAGCCCTAACATGGCCTTGTATAGCGTACTATATAAATGATGTAGGCAACGACGGCAAAGTTTGTCACTTGCACATTTTCAGTAGTTTTAAATCTTGATATTAATTATTTCCCTCTAGGCGTACAGTGCAACCCATTAAGGCCACCATTCCGAGGAATCGTCACTTGTACTGATGACAACAACTTCCTCAGCGTGTGCACCTACAGCTGCAACGAAGGATTTGACATCTCCAGTGGGACGAATAGAGTGCGAGTGTGCACAGCGGCAGCAGAATGGACAGGCATAGAGCCGCGTTGCAGAGGCAAGCAAAACATACTACTTAGAACCTTTTCCTTTCATGTCATTACCAGAATATGTAAAAATCTGCAAAAGGATTTGCAAGCTGCTGTTCGAACGTTCTGCTAACTTTCCATTATCAAACAAATACTTCGTTACAATTTCTCAAAAGTTATCTTTTTAATGGGGCCCTCACATTGCGCGTTATCGATTGGCCGACTAGTCGGCGAACTCTAAACGACATTTATAATTACGGCCGTAGTACGCCCGATGTTCCGTCGAGCATCGCGCGAATTTTCGGGATCGCCGTCGAAGCTCGCTGACACGCGAAACGTTTTCTTAACATCAGCAATTAGTCGCCGGCGATTTTTGAGGTCGCAGAGTTCGTTTCCAGCTCGCCCGTAGCTCGCCCCCGTGCGGCCGAGAGTCGACCGATATTCGGACGTACATGTACATCCCACGAGTCTCGGCGGTTCTTTGTCTTCAAGAATCGGACGATGATACGGTCGTCCCTCGCGCGAGTTTCGCGCAGTACGCCTGGCAACTCGCGATGCGAGAAAACCGATTCGAAACCACCTCTAGAAGTGGTTTGGGATCGAGGCGCTTTCAATGTGATTTGGAGCGTTCAGATGGAGCCACTTGAAGCCGGCTTCGGGGTAAACCACATGTAAAGCGCCTTCACTGACTTCACATGAACAGGGCCTTTTACTCTACAAGTGCGTCACGGTAATCATGCGTGTTGTGCGTACGGGAGAAATGTCTGTACGCAACTCGTACGCAATGACGATACGCAGAAGTGTGACAGGGCCCTAAAAGCTGATGTTTGTTATTGCTTCTTGCAGACATCATCAGACCAACACTTGTTGACTGCCCAGGGCCTCTCATCATTGAGTATCTAGATATGAATGAGCGGGAAGTGACTGTAGTTTGGGAAGAGCCAACAGTAGAGGATAACGCCGACTACGGCTTAACAGCGAGCCTTTGTTTGGGAGATCCACCGGGGTCACCGTTCACTGTGGGAACGCATAGAATTGAGTACACGGCAACCGACAATGCGGGCAACACGGCGATTCCTTGTGGATTTACCTTGTCGATCCGAGGTGACTGATATACCTTTGTTTAAAAGCATCCAATGTAACCAAAGGGTGGCAAAAAAAATCTGGACGAGGAAATCCGTCCGATATTGAAATTTATTACCATTTCGCAGCGCATTTTCGTCATCATTTTATACTGGAAGCGTTTGAAATAGCCTCAAAACAAGATACGCGATGGGTCTCTTTTGTGTAGCGCTCATGTGCATTGACAAAAAAGCAACATTTTCCATCAGCGTCATCGCGCTTGTACCTGACATATCAGTGTCATATATGGGATAGGGTTGATTAAACTTAATACATTAAAAAATGACCATAACATTGACTTTAAAATTCCGGTTTTGCCGCCCTCAAATTAAATTGGATGTCTTTAACAAAACTTATCTGGCTTCTTAAATCGTTTTCAGACCTCATTGATTAATATTCTTTAGGATAGGTTATTTCTTCGGCAAACCGTTTCTGTTTCTCCTCTTTCGCTATACACACATATAGCTTAGGTCCTCCTCGTCTAGACGTCTGTTGAGACTGATATATAAACTAACAGGTGTTTGTGCTGAGGAAATATTTTCTAACCCTCTATTGAGGAAAAATGTCTTTCGATTCATGTAACAGCGTTTGAGTTATCCAACAACGGTTTTTTGTTTAGAAATCACCTGTCCGGTCGTACATAAGAAGCCGTACCAACTTGTGACATGCCCAAGTGGAAACTCGTACGGTTCGCGTTGTGAGTTCGCTTGTGAGGATGGATCCCGGCTCATTGGGGCGAACTTCACGTACTGTGACAAGACTGGAGACCCTGCAGTTGGCTATTGGGACTGGGATAGTTTGGCCGGCCAACATTCAGGATCCGGGGACTACCAAGGCCAACCTAAGTGCGAAGGTAATTTGATTTTTTTTTTCATTTTGTTACCTTTTTCCTATCGGCACAGAAACGAAGTCAGACCGTGAAAAGAGACGGCCCTTTCCGCTAGACTCGCCACGGCAAGAGGTAGTGCGCCAACTACACAACTACAGCAACTACGGGTAAATAGAAAGCCTTTCTTATAATATACCTTTCCTCAAGGCGATGGACTCTAAGTGCCTATCGGCACAGAAGAGAAGTCGGACTGTGAAAAGGGACGGCCCCGGTCCCACCCGCTAGTGTCATCTAGTCTATGCGTGTAATGCCAACTACACAACTTCAGCAAACTAAGAGTAGTGAAAAAGCCTCTCCGTATCGACCGGGCCTGCGTGAACAGGCCCGTATATGTGCACTGATCTGCCCGCTAGCCCGCTTTTCGTGGGAAGAATTTACTACACTGCAATGGGTACAGCGACTACGACGATCTCGTGATGTTGTAGTCGGATGTTACGTGTATGATATCACACTAACTACCGGAGTATGCGCACTAATGCCCGATAGAAATGTCGCTCACAGTCGGGTTGTAATCTACGCTCACATGGCCCCGTAACCCGGGTTATGTGCCCTGGCGATTTCGAGATTTGGATGACGGATGGTTGGTGTGAGAAATCACTTTCGATGCCGAAGTGGGCGCACTGGTACCGAAAAGGCATGGCGCATACAATTGGGAAGTGAGCGTGAACAAATCTCGTTTCCCGTCGGCTGAACAGACAATCACGTGACCCCTACCCTGATACTAATTATTCCGCCCCTTTACCCTCTGACCCTTCCTCCCTAACCCTCGTAAGGGTCATTCGTGGCTCAACCTTTCTCTGTACGGTCACATTTGTTTGGCTCCCGATCACATTTGTCCCAAGCGTGTGTAGTTACAATTTCCCCTTTGGCTTCTTCCGCTGGTCACTGGATTACTTCACCCTGTACTTTTGCTCGTGTGGATTCCCGTCTCTCTGACTGTTTCTTGTGTAGACGTTCGCTTTCCACGTAAGTTGATTATTCCGCCATGGATCGTGATTCACCTCTACACCAGAACTACCTCCGTTATGTGCGTCCAGCGGCACAACTGGTTTCTGCGCGCCCCTGTGCTACAGTTTCGTCGCGTTTGCCACATCGATCGTCTGTTCCACGGATTTTGCGCCAAATCCCCATCGCCTCGGCAGACCGGACCACCTCGAGCTCGGACCCCACTGGCTACCCCCGCCCGCCTGATGATGGAAGTTCTGTAGCAGGTTTTCCCCACTCCTTTCCATGTTCCCCCCGTTGTCTGTATTTTGTTGTTGTCTTCTCGTTTAATGTACTATCGTAACCGGTTTTATAATACTGCTGCTTTTTTACCACAGGAGGTTGCTGCATCATGGGCGTTCATAGATCTCCTTGCGTGTGGTCCTGCATGTGTACTACTCTAGTAACGCTTCTTATTTCCTTGCATTTTCCTAGTTTGCGCTCTGGCTATTTACACATTCTTCCTTCAACAGAGACGTTCCCACCACGAGGTGTCACTCGAGGACAGCGCACTTCCTTACCTCCCGCTGTGTTAATGACAGCCAGGCTATACCCTCTTCCTGCCTGTTACAGTTGACCGCCTAGCCTTTCTCTTCCAGACCACCCACTCGTGGGAACGTTGTGATGTTATGAACGTACTAGTAATATCCCCTTCCACCCCAAACCCTCTAGCCTGGAATCCATCCGTGAACGCTGTGTCTCCGCTCCGTTCCTCCGCTCTGCTTTCAGGATTCCAGGCTATTACCTCGTGATTAACCAACAAACTTCCTGACTTTCTTCCCGTATATAGTCCCCATCCTTGATATCGGTTACAACCTCCTCGTTTTGTTTGTTTTGTTTTTGTTTTGATAGACTGGTTGGCTAGGTCAGTTATTAATGTGCTAACTGCCCTACTCCCACGTGATTCACAGTTTCTACACTCACTCTTCCAGCATTTGTTGTCTGATGGGCTGTCCTGACTGTTTGATTGGTTTCTCACTACATGTCTGGTGCGCCCACGTTGTATATGATCCTTACCTCGGACCCTACCTCTCATGCCCTCACCTCGCCTTGTTTTTCCGTCCCATCCACCCCCGACCGACCCCCGACCCCGTTTCCCCCCTACTAGCCAACTCCCACCCTGGATCTTGACATGTGCACATGACTCACCCCCCCAGCCTTCATACACATATGCTAGTACATGTAGTAGTAGCAAGTCGTTCTTGTGTTTGTACACTCTCTTGTTTTTTGCATTGAACGCATTGATCTCATCGTTTTTTCAATTTCGTAGACGCAGTTGTGCCGAATTACTTCACGTATTAATTATGTTTCTCCCTTTTACGAATAGTCTGCTGCACACGGGAGGAACTAAGCTAAGTCTAATTATGCTTCCCCCTTTTGCGAATAGTACATAGTGACGTGATGTCCTTCCGGTCGCCGACAAGACAGTTGTTCGATATTGCCGCCTTACCAACAGCTGTTTACACATTACAGCTCTCTCTTATGATCTACCACCACCGGTCTGAAGCTGTTTTGACGACCTGATTGCTTCCTTATTCGCAGACTCCAGTCTGGCATAGCATGTTCCTAGGAACGTCCTCCTCCTCAGTCCCTACCCCTCCTTGTTCTATCCCCCCACCCCATCCTTCCTCCCCCATTTTGCCTTTACCCCCCTACCCCATGTCCTGACAGGTTACTAGTAACGTTATGTGTGTGACGTTGAATTGCGATGTGCTCCCCGTGTGCCCCGTGTGCCTTGGAGATGTGATCACCGTGTGCCCCGTGTGCTCCTCGTCACATGGCTATGTGCATGCATATTCCCCCCTGTGGACACATTGTTGATACATGGGAAGTTCCACCCCCCGTGCGGGTGAACGTAAGTCCCATCGAAGTTCAACCCCCCGTGCGGGTGAACGTAAGTCCCATCTAAGTTCAACCCCCCGTGCGGGTGAACGTAAGTCCCATCGAAGTTCAACCCCCCGTGCGGGTGAACTTGAGTTCACTAGAGTCCCGTGAGCGTCAGGTTTCTCCGAAAGTCGAACGTGAAGTTCTACCGGTTCCTCCGTGTGGATGAAGGAGCATTTCCACTAGTAGTTGCACCCAAGTGTGGGTGAACGTAAGTTCCACCACGAAGTTCCTTCCGCCGCGCGGACGAACGTGAAGTTCTATCGGACGTTCCTTGTGTAGACGCGTTGACACCTTGTCGAGGTAGGACTAAGGGACCCCAGCGTGGATCACTGCATGCGGGACGCTGGACTTTACCCCGTCGAGTTAATGGACGAACCAGCATGACCGGACTGCTTCGTAGTACTGTATGTTTCATCGTGACCTGGGTTCAGCGAAGCGTAACCTGCAGTGGCAGCCATACGTGTGGACCTGGGACTGATGCTGTGCGGTTCATCGCTCCAGTCAGGACTGAATCACCTTGTATATTTGAACTTGTGACTAAGGCAGATTTGTAGCTCGTCTTGTGCAAGCGCACAGAACGGACATGACCTCTCGAACACTTCGAACTCAGTCGTTACCGCCAGTCGTCATCGCCAGGAGTCGTTACCACCTGAAGTCGTCATCAGTTGTACTTCCGTGACTCTGAACATGAACTTACAGCTGCGTGTTAATCCTACATGTTGCTTCCTTACACGTATGACTCCCTTGTTCCGAAGAGACTGTCTTTTTATTATCGAACCAGTTCATCATCCTTTCCCTCCCGGTCATGTTGTCTCTCTGTGTACAAGGGTATACACAGAGATGCTATCCTTTTGCATCGTGACGGTGAGCTCACTACCCTAATTGTGTGTGTTTGTCTGTGAAATAGACGGGAAACATAGTTCTCTTCGGAGCTTGCGAAGAAGAGAAATCTCGTTTCCCGTCGGCTGAACAGACAATCACGTGACCCCTACCCTGATACTAATTATTCCGCCCCTTTACCCTCTGACCCTTCCTCCCTAACCCTCGTAAGGGTCATTCGTGGCTCAACCTTTCTCTGTACGGTCACATTCCCACCCAACCCTCCCATGACTAACCCGAGAACACCTGGATTCTAGAACGTTAGTTATGTTTTCTCATCTCATACGACATCGCGCTACCTTAGTTCTTACTGACTTATCTAGACTCGTACATTTCGTCATAGCGCTGTACGTTATCCTCAATGGTACCTGCGACATAGTGTACGTAATCAGTTGTTACATAACCTTCACGTTGTCTCTTCTCTGCAAGATACCTGCCTTGCTAGCGTTCCCAGTCACATTGTGGCCATTTGCTGTACTCAGTATGTTTTGTAGTTGTAACCTCTGATATACTCCAGAATTGTGTTATTGTCGTATTTTGAACCACGTTACTTACGAAGGTCAGTAGTTATTCAGGTGTACCTGTAACGCATCATTTCCTTAGCCAGGATGTTTTCAACCTTGTTCACGCAGATGAGCTTTTGAACTTCGCCGGCTAGAAGTTACTTACAAGTCAGGATGCGTTAAACATCCGCTGGACAGAGCCTTGGTTTAACCGACCAGCCCGACTTTGGCTAAACAATTGGCAACCAGGGTAAAATAGGTCGCCAGCTCGCAGCACATGACTTGTTGTTGTTGTATTAGGCTCCTGTATAAGTACGTACATGCTATGAGAGCTACAATGTGTAGAGAGTAATGGTGTTACTGAGCAATAAATGCCCGACCGTACTGAGGTGACGGTGAGCTCACTACCCTAATTGTGTGTGTTTGTCTGTGAAATAGACGGGAAACATAGTTCTCTTCGGAGCTTGCGAAGAAGAGAACTTTGAGCGCCTGGATGCGCGTCCCGCTACATTACATGAAACATGTGGCGTAGATGGTGATCAGAAATAATATAATGAAAGACTACGGGATCATTTCAACATACATTGCTGACCTGTTGTAAGAATAATACCCCGAGGGGGCGAAATCGCTAAGAGGCCGACATCGCTAAGAAAAGCGCCCTGGTTAGCTAGTTTTAAATTTTTTTTTTTTTGAAGAAGAAGAATTTTATTCATCAAAACAACATTGCAGGCTGAAACAGCCTGAATTGTGTTGTAAATTACATGTACATTCATATTAACAATAACAATTGTAACATTTTAGCGTTAAAAGATTAATTGTTAAAAGAAGTATATCCGATAATGACGTATTGTATAAAATATCGATAACACATTAAAATATAGACAATAATTGAGTGGAACAACTTTAGGATACAAGTACAAGGAGGCAATAATAGTTTCAGTTGCGCCACAGGTGTCGAATCATAGAGACAGCGTCCTCCTAGCATAGCGCTAGCTTTCCACTGGAATGCTAAAAAATTATTTATACTCAATACTGTCATTGTACCGGTGCTTAGGGCATCCAGGGATAGTTTTAACTTCTGCACGTTCCCTATACATTAGAATTTTGCCATTTTAAATATTAGTTTCGTAAAAGGTACATAACGCAGTTGTTAATCTTTACAGGACATCCATGTAGAGCTCTGAGGGTACCACATAATGGAGCCCTGGCCTGTGATGCTTGGCTTTACGGGAAACATTGCACGATGCTCTGCAATGACCGATATGACATCCCTCCCGGATTGCGCATCAGAAACTCCCTATGGGTTTGTGGAACATCAGGGAACTGGGACTACCCTGACCCACCACACTGCTCTGGTAAGATTTTCCCTTGTGATCTTTCTAACACACAATTTTAAAAGCTTTCCCTTAAATGAAAAAAAAGGGAAAATAAAAATCTGTTTTTATTTTAAAGAAAACACACCTTATTTGATATTAGTTGAATACCACCCGTCATTGGGAATTTCGGACCTTGGTTCAATGTTTTTTCGGGGTGAGGGGCAGCAGTGTAAAAAACACCACCTCCCACTGGTGAGCTATCTTCATCAGTCCTGGCGGTTGACGTTTTTCAAAACAACGTTTGATTCCAGGCGCAGCGTTCGAAGCCGAGTCAGTGTTCAAAACATCTGATGGCTGGTGACTGGCTAGTGTTTGCTTCGCTTCCGCCTTTCTTAATTCTAGCAGGTACTTATTCCAAATCCATGCAGATCCTGTCTCTGCTGCTTCTGCTGCTGCTCTTGTTATTATATTGACTTGATCTCTTTTCTGCAGAGACCCATCTTCCCTAGCCATTTATGTAGCGATATACCCTTTGCTTCTTTCACATATTTCAAAAAATTTTACTAAATATTAAAATCATGTAAACCTTTTAATTATTACATTTACAGTACGAAGACGCCCAAATTCCATCAGGCTTCCCTCCGAACTTCAGTACTTTCTTGGAGATTGTGTTGACCCTGACGCCCAGGAACAGATCAGAGAGAATTTTGTCCAGCTATTTCTACAGTCAGGCTTTGGCTTCATTTGCGCTCATCTAAGCTGCACAGTGCAGAATGTTAACGTTATTTGTGGTGAAAACCTACGAAGAAACACTGATGATCAACCAAGTAACTCATCTGAAGCGTTTATACTGACGATTCAATTCGACTTCGCTGTACCGATTTCCAATGACACTTCTGTGCGCGAAAGCGAACAGGTCCTGTATTCGTTAGCAGAGGAAACCAAAAAACAGGTCTTATCTGGAAATTTGACCTTGAAGAATATCACAGCGTCAGAGATGGAGTCGAATAAGGGGTCATTTTCAAGTGGGTTGAGTGAGTTTCAGTGTCAAGACGGCATGGAGCCTCGTTACAACACACATTCATGCGGTAAATGCTTTTCATTATTACAGGCTTTAGAAACAGCGTTTTTGCAAAGCTTGACGCACTTTTGGCTTTCTATGGTATTTCTTCTGAAATATTGCATATCACTGGGGTTTGAAAGGGCAACGGTTTCTCACAGCAGTGTATAAAAACAACAATGGCATTTTGGTTGTGTTAGCCGTTGTTCCTCTAAATTGCTAATGTTGCTATCCATTTTAAAGGGTTAATGATTACATGCATGAAAACTATTTGTATGCAGAATTTGAACAAATATATGTTTTCCTCACTGTACAGTTGGCTGTTCGGCGGGGTCTTTCTACAACATCACGTCTAAGAAATGCCAAAAATGCCTCGTCGGAACCTTTCAAGACGAAGATTCTCAGTTCCGATGCAAAAGATGTCCTTATGGATACTCCACCGAGAGCGACGGGGCAACCAATAGCACCGATTGTAAACGTAAGTTTTTTTTTAATCAAAACATAAATGAAAAAAAATACAAAATGACATTTTTACATCGAACGTATTGCCGCCATTAAACAAGAAAAGAATAAAACAAAGATTTTAAATGAATAAAATGAATAATAATAATAATAACTTTATTGCACACCAATATTATACAAGGTACAGACTTTGGCATTAGCTATACATAACTGCAATTTCATAAGGCTAACGTACGCAAAAAATTTGGGCTTAATCTTACTTCATAAATAACGCCATGTTTTACGTCAAAATAACACATTTGATGCTGTTTTTTATTTTATAGGTACTAATAATAATATTTTTTAGCCAAATACAATTACGTAACAATGCTTTAATCTCCTACTTTTCAGGTGAATGTAGACCAGGCACCTTTTCAGCAAACGGTGTCCAACCCTGCTCCCCTTGCAACAAGGGTAAATATCAGTCGACGTCCGGTCAAAAGTCTTGTATTTCCTGTCCACCGGCTACTACAACATTGCTGGAAGGAGAGAGTGAAATATCCGCTTGTCAGAGTAAGTTACATTTCCTTTTACCCCAACTCAGTGTATGCCATTACGTTTTTGTCCCCACAGAAAAATACAGAATCCTTACGTATCGTTATTTTATTGTTCTCTCCGTAATTTTTAGTTTTCATAATTTCTTCACACAAAAGTACAAACAGACCGACAAAGTTGTGATTAGCATAACCTATTCCAATTGATCGTGTTCAGAGTCTGGATACATTTTTTAAACATTTAATTGTCAATCATGAAAGATACTTTCACATTTCCATAGGTTATAAACTATAGCTAAAGAAAATGTTAGTGTTAAACACTTTATTTTAGTAAAATATATTATTAGAAGAGAGAAAGAAATGTAGTGCAGGTATTTTTGCAACATCTTCTTTATTCTCGAGATTTCTCTTTTGTTGCTTGTTTTATTTTTGTCTCATAATGTTTTTTCTTCTAGATTTCGATTTGCAGTTTCCACGGCCGACTCAGAACATCTCGAGTTGTGTAAAGTATGAAAACATGGAATTCCAAAATGCAAGTGGCATCACTGTTTCTTTCTGGATTTGGGTTGATAATGGTTGTCAACCAAATGCAACTATTTTCCACTACCACTGCATGGACACTGCTGAGGAAAGTAACGCCACTGCCCAATATCCCTGTTTTTACATAAAATCACCACGTAGTCTACGCCTTGGACTAAGAAGGTATGAATGAGATAACCATTTGTCCAACAATATGTCCAATGCATGCTTAACTGGTCCGACAATACGCTTTTTTTCGAGCAAACAAATTCAAAATCATAAAAATGACAATCAAAATATAGTAAGTGTGATAATGTTTAAATACCCTTTTTTGTACGTATCTGTTAGTCTTTTTTCTGTTCAATGTGCTATTCTCCCCCTTATTTGTATATGATACTTTATTTTACACACTGCGTCTTTATCATTTTAGACGCGGGAACAATGGGAAATTCAAGATTACAATATTTTGCCAGTAACGTGTTTTGTTTTTGCTTCAATACCACTCAATAGTAAATGCAATGTTGTTGCAGGGGAGGCAACACTACAGAAATACAGATGGAGACCAGTTTGAGTCTTGAAACCTGGCACCATGTTGGGATTACATACAGCAACATAGCAGGCATGTACATAGTCACAGTCAATGGGGCCGTGGTCGTTAATGGCAGTTTGTCTGATCAAGGCCAACATCAACGACAAGAAGGCATCAGCCAACGTGGGTCATTTTGGCTCGGCTGTCATATTACCGAAGGTTAGTCTTAAGATAATTAAAAAAAAACTATTGATCTTCCAGATTTCTATTTTTTTCTAAAGCACAAATGGTCATTAACCGCAGGCAACTTACTCTTTGTGAAATATACTTATAGTCATTTCTGACTGTCAACATAATGGTACGACACGCAGAATAGCATAAAGTTCAATGCTATCAATAAAAAAGGTGTATCAAACATTCATCTGAGACGTTTTCCTTCATCAGGAACATTAAACATCACGGACTCCTTCTCTGGCTTTATCAGTAACATGAACATCTGGAATCATACCAAGAACGCAATGGACGTACAGGATATGTCAAGGACATGCGTCAACACCGATGTTGGAAACGTGGTCAGCTGGTCTCAGTTTGGTACAGCACAACAACTGAAAGTATCACTCCAACTTCCCAGTTTGTGCGATGGTATTTACTGTTTACTCATTTCTTGATCCTCCCCACAAGTTGCTCCTCAAAGCGTGATTTTCCAATGCATGTCCTGTAAGGTGCAACTTATACCGAAGGACTTACATGCGTAACTCATATTAATTTCATGTAGTATTGAGATACTGCAGTTGATTGATTTTAATTCATGGCTATCAGGAACAGAGGAGGAAGACTGTGCGTTTCGCTTACTTGAACTCTCATTTGTGTCTGTAAATGGTAATGTTTGTTTCAAATGCACTCATGACATGAATATAAAAAAGAAACTACGATAAGATAGAAAAATACGAGATTATTATGTCCGACGTTTCACTACATTCGACATTCTTTAAAATACACAGTATCTACAAATACACCATACATATCTACAAACACAGCACTTTAAATTTATCTTCTTTACAGACACTGACGAGTGTGCCTCGAAACCATGTGGGGACAACCAGTGTGTAGATCAACTCAGAAACTACAGCTGTATCTGCCAGGAGGGCTTCACCGGGCGGAACTGCGAAATCAACATTGATGACTGTCTGGACAACGTGTGTGAAAACAACGCTACCTGCCTCGATGGTGTGGGGAGCTACACTTGTCTGTGTCCAGATGGATTTGTTGGTGGCTTTTGTGAAGTTGAGTCAGGTATTTAACATTTCGTTGTTATATATGTTTGATGACATAGATTATCAGACCAGCGACACCATTACAATGTAGACCATAAAATTGATAAACAATAAAGGTTGTAACTGCAAAGTTGGCGTTAAAATGTGTTTATATACATTGTGCAGCAAAATCATTTTTATCGTTAAACGATAATAAAGCCAACTTCCACAGACTTTAGCTCTGAAAAGGCAACCTTTATAATTTTTATTTATGACGGGTTATTCCTTTATTTTCCCCACTTGTTTATCACCAGTTTATAGGCGTGTAACTAGGTGGAGGGTAGGAATGCCTGTGAAACTAAATCACATAGAATGCTATTAGGCAGGGCAGGGGAAAGAATGGTGAATGATCTGATTCTATAAGTAGGTTCACAAAGTGTGTGTAAAAAAGGTGAAGGCCTCCGAGACGTAAACAAAACAATCAAATATTACCACTTCTACGTTTAGACGGAGGTGGGTGTGGCTAGGGGGTCCACTGTTTTGTTTTACCTCTCGGGGGAGCGGCTTCAACTTGATATTGGACATGCTCACTTTTATTTCAACTCTGTCAAAATTTGCTTTAAAAACTAGTTGATGGCAACTGGACACCATGGAGTCAGTGGAGCAGCTGCAGTGCTTCTTGTGGCGGGGGAAATTATAGTAGGACCAGGGAATGTATCAACCCCCGTCCTATGCATGGAGGCAACAACTGCACAGGACCATCGGTTGAGATTGGTGCGTGTAATACAGAAAAGTGCCCAGGTGAGAATGATTTTTGTGTGCAGGAAACATCGAATGACTTTATTGTACGACTTATGCGTCATAAAGAGATAAACCCTCTCTTGGATAAAATCTTTCCAACCTGAGCTTTTTATCGAGTTTTATTGTTGTCACACCTATTGTGTTGAAATGTTATATTTAAGACCCAGTCACACATTCACAAATTCGGCCTCTAGAACACTAGCCGAACACCCCGACCATGTTTAGAAGAAGGTCGGCGCAAAATCAGCTGGGGCGGCTGGTTTCTGGCTATAGCTATTAAATTCGGCCACTATTCGACTACACCAGCCTTATCTTTCAAATGTGTAAAACATTTGGGGTACGCTGGTCGGTTGGGAGGTTCGAGCTAAAAGTCAGCAGAACGTCAACCAACCATTTGGGAGAAAGTCAGCAGTGTTCGGTGGTTTCATGGATCAAATTCGTTTCGATTCCTATAGGAAGGTAGGCGTGATCTAAATTTGGTCAGACTGCTCCCAAACGTCAGCCGATTCAGGTCAGCTGGTGTTCGATAACAAATTCGGGGGAAGGTCGTGAATGTGGGGCTTTACTTGAGCAAGGAAAAAGGAAACCCACCCATTGATACATAGAAGTTTATTTTGAGTTGCCCTACACGCCTTTGGCAAAACAGATGGTCGTAGTAAGGTTTTTAATCAGGGAAAATAAAAGAGACTGACGTACTATGTGTCCTGTGCCTGTTTGTAATAAAATATTCTCTAAACTTTACAGTTTGTAAAAACCTAACCGATCCCGTGAACGGTTTTGCAACCTGCAACTCTACTGGTGACGAGATTAACTGCACCATATCCTGTCAGGACGGGTTTGAGTTTTATGATCAGCCGGTTCTTCACTACCATTGTGGACGGTCAACATCCTACCGATGGAATCACGAGTCCCCAAGGAATCCTATGGCAAGATATCCACCATGTTCAGGTCAGTTATATTTCACTCCACACGATGATATAGTGTTTCCTCTAGCGTAACTTCCTCCTCCTGTCATATGGTTAACCCTACCCAGACCCGGGGGGGGGGCGTAAAAGTGCCCGCGGCAACTTTGATGTCACGTAGTGTCTGAACGGCTAGCCGTAGAACGGCCAAACTTGGTGACTTTTCCTAGAATATTGTTGGCAACAATTCTCTATCATTGAAATAAGATAATGATTTTTTGTGTTGCCATGGCAACGGGTTTCTGACAGGCATTTTTTGTTAAATTTAGTACTTTTTGTTTCAACAATAGAATTTTATGGGTTTTATGTCAAGTTACTCGTGGTTTCTAATATCAATAACATCCCATATAATTTAATGTAAATTTTATCATTAAATATGCATAATTTATGCTAATTTGATGACGTCATTGGCCAAAATCCAAGATGGCGGACCATATCATTAGAACAGGTATATACAGGTTATTTTCATTAAAATTTCATCAATACTTCCATTTCTTTTTCCAAAAAAGGTTTAAATGAAGGTCTTTAGTATGTTTACAATGTATTTTAGGCTTTATCATGAAAAAGAACTATTTTTGAAAATTCAAGATTGATGATCCAAGATGGCGGATATCTTAAATTTGCATGACGTCATTTTATGACGTCACCGGTGTTGTTATGGGCAACATAAGACTTAGTACACCATAATATTCTGTCATAAACACTTTTGGTACAGTTATGTTGAATACCATTTAGTTTTCAGGGAAAAACCTATTTAGACGGTTTGGGCCAATAAAATCACATTAATGACGTCATAATAACGTCATCTTACGTCATAACGACATAAAAATTGTAGATATGATAAATTTTTACTAGTACACCATTCTCTGAAAATTTGGTGGTCATACGACATACCGTTCGCGAGTTCTTAGGGGGGTCAAAAGAGCCCCCCCCCCCGGTCCCCCCATGTCAAAAAAAGCCCGGTCTAGGTAGGGTTAAATGACTCGATTTCTTTATTTTGGGCTAAATGACCTGAAATACAGCAGGGAGATAACAAGAGTGGGTACCCTTAGACTTTTTTTTTTTTGCTTTTTGCTTTTTATACCTAACGTAAGTTTATACCTACCATTTTTAAACCAGACATAGGACTTTTAAATTATTTTATTTTACATTTTCATACCAATAATGTATATTATCCCAAGCATAAAGCATGGAATTTGGTGTGGTGGTATCTTGGTTATAAGATCTTCATTCACGCTTCTAGCTATTATAACATAAATCATTTAAAATATGTAAAATGAAACTTTTCTTCCATTTTGCATGGGGGTCCAAGTAAGAAAATTTTATTTCGGTGTGGCCACATGTGTGATATTGCAAATGGTTCATTTCTGAAAAGGGTTGATATAAAACTATTTTGAAACGGGGAGGGAGATGGAGTGAAGTATGATGTTTTTGCTCCCGAGCAAATGTTGGCCTTTTATCAATTGCCCCTCACGACATTTAGACTGTAATAGCTTTTCCCTCCTACAACAAAATAAAAAGAGGCCATGTAATGAAAAAATATTCAACATCATTTCTTATCTTAACATAAAAACAACAACATAAAACTTATTCGTGGGAAGTAACACGTATCTATTTGTTGTCTGTTGTGTACAGAGGTCACCATGCCAAAGATGTTGTATCTGACACATGAGATGACGTACAAGAACTTGCCTTGCAAGACAAAGGAGGAAGCACGTTTGACTAAGCTAAAGGTTGAAGAAACGATTCAGACAAACGTGGAAGATATTGAGTGCATAAAGAATAATTCATGCTACGTCAGGGAAATCAACGTCAAAAACTTTTTAGGCACGAGTGCTGAAAGTGACACAGTAAAGGTTACTTTTGAGGTTTCAAGTACTGTAACATCAGAATCTGTGGCTGACAAAAAAGGGTCTATTGCAATGGACACTGAAGGAAGTTCATCAAACAAAACAGGTAAGATTTTCACTCCTGCCTGCATCAGTCTGTGTAATGCACCAAGCAAATGAGCTATCGTGAACGTTTAAAGAAATCCTGTTTTAAATAATCATTTTGATAACTACTGTATATAAGTATAAGCTTGAGGCAGATGTTTTGCTATTAATAATAAAAATATACTTAAAAGGCAAACCCGTCTGTCTGTACAGGTCTAAAGTTTGACGTCTGTGGAATTGGATTCATTAGCCACAACCGAACTCAAAAGGGTGACTGAACGAAAGGTCACTATCAAATATCATATATACACTGGCAAAATGTGCAAAATGAAAATCAACTTTGAATTAGCTTTCAGTTTAGCACATACTTATAACCGGTGTAATTGTACTATAATTTTTGCCTTGTTGTTTTGGTGTTAAGGCACATATTTCTATTTTAACAGAGTTCATCAAGTACGCGAGAAACCTAGTTGGCACAGTAACAGGTTTGGAGCTCGCTGCAATACAGCTAGACAATCAGACTCTCAATGACGTTTTCACGGTCTACATTAAGGATGTCCCGTATCCTGTGAACACCAATGCCTCAAAGACATATGGAGGTACTGAGTGTGATGTCGGCGAGATTGCAGTTATGTTTTACTGTGGTAAGACGTTTTTCTTTGAAATGCATTCTTTCTTTCTCTTGTCACAGGAGCCCGAAATATGTATGTCATATTTAGAAGACAACCCCTTTTATTTAGCAGAGAAAAGAAAGCCGAGTATGTGTTACCCATAAAAATGATTAGTATCAAAGCTGAATAGGAATTTGATAGGAATATAGGATCGAGAAAAAAAGGTATTAAGGAATGGAATGGACAGACTAATCATAAAAATTCGTTTTTAACGTTCAAAAACCAACTAGTACAACAAAATTGTTTTTATGTTGATCTTGCAGTGCCCTGCCCTGTGGGAACCCGCTTCAGCGACGGGAAGTGCATTCAGTGCGACCAAGGCACCTATCAAAACGAGACTGGGCAAGTGCACTGCAGAACCTGTCCTCGTTGCCTGACGACCGAGGGATTTGGAGCATTAGAAGAAGATGATTGCAATGGTTTGTGCAGCCATACTTTCATTAGAGAGATAAAAATTTTAAGAAGAAGAAACGGAATCTATCATATTCTATAAAATGCAAAGCATTACATTAATAAATTTAACGTTTTTGGCTCTTATTTTGCATACATTCACAAGTGATTGTATGATTAAAAAGTTTATCATTTACCTTATAATGGACCATTGTGGTCTGTTAATTAGATGGAATTTTTCTATAGCTTGTAGGTGTTCGAAGTTTGAAATTGTTTCTAATAAAGCAGATATTTGTAGCAAACGCTAAAAGAAACCTTCTTTTTGAAATAACATTCCTTTTTTGTTTAAACAGGTCACAATTGGTTGCAGATGTTTTACATTGCACTTGTGTTCACATGGTAACCATGTAATCGCAAGATAACCTTCATGCATGTTCTAAAGAATTGTAACAGTCTGAGTGACATATCACACATTTTTTGAACAACTACAGAGAATTATGTTTGCAATGCACATGCCTTTTCTCTCATTTTTCTCCTACGAACAGTGGAAACATTTTGTGGACAACCCGTCACCCATGTAACTGCATCTGAACCAGGTAAGCATATTATGTGTATTTTCAAAATCATTTAATGTGTAAATTTGCCTTGTTATATTTAATATACATTCTATTATATATATATTGGATAATGTTTTAAATATCGCCTACAGTCGGATGACCAATTCCACGGATAACATTGGGAGCAAAATGACTTGGTCAGGCTGTGGTCAACATAAAGGCATAACTTAGGCACTACAACTTGTTATTAAAAGTAATTTTAAAATCATTTATTTGCGAGATATGCAAAATGGTTGACTTTTGATTGACAATTTCAGACTGGAAGTTAATACCCTGGTTGGTGGAGGTCGGAGTGGCTGCTGTAATTTTCGGTATTCTGGCAGCAATTATCCTGGGGCTTTACAAATGTAAGTATTATCTGCCCGTTTATTCTTAATTTATTTCTCCGTCTTTAATTGAGACACAATATGAACAGTTTATAGTAACCCAGTATTTGTTTTTCCTTGCCTTGATTAACAGGTATTCGTCGGACTGGAGCACAAGGGAAGCGTCTGTTAGAGAGGTCAGAGCGGCCAAGATCGATGTACTTACACGGAGAGGATAACAACATTCACATTCGTGAAACACAAATATAGACAAAATCAAACATACGAATTGTGAATAAGGAATCCTGTTATTTCGACGACACTTAACCACATACAACATACCACAATCCCCATGATGTTTTAGAAATATGCAATATTGTTCAGAATTACACTACCCGTGCCCATAACTCAACTACTTCAAGAACTACATTGTAAATACTTCCGATATATCAGTCATTTCAATAGATGACTCAATTGATGCTTGGTGATTGATGGAAATATGCAAGAAAAAAAATGCAATTTTTCAGTACTGGATATGATTGGAACCAAAGTGGTTTAAGCGTAAAAAAAAGACTCTTAAATGAAACCCGTGTCTTAGTAAGTTTTTTTTTAAGAAAACGTGTACAAATACCAATCACCTCCCAATAAATATCAGTGTAGAAAACAAATGAAATATAATCAAAACAAAGGATTGTGTACAGTTGAGTTGAAATATTTCTTTCGTGGACCATTGCAAGAAACTTCCCAAAAATGATTTCATTTTACTTCCAGGACATGTTTGTTTCCTTGTTTTTGATAGGTGCCCATTCATTGTTGCCGAGAAGGTGACAGATGACTACAGAATAAAGATTGTTGGTCAAGGTCCCCCTGGTGACTGATCTTGGTACTGCATCATTTTTTTTAATCGTTTGCCCTGGACAAAAGGTGACATTAGGCCTGTAAAGAATACCTATTCCAGCTAACTGCACCAACGTGGTGTCAGTGACACGTCAATCACGTGTTAAAAACATGTTTTAGACTATATATAAGTACGATCCGGAAACGAAGAAACAATCATTTTGTTAAAAAGAAAAAAAAAAGTGCCATGAACCGCGGTCCTCATGCTTTACTAGATTAAAACATAAACTACTAAGCCACCCATACATTCTTAATGTATGGCATTGATTGGAATCGGGAAATCCTGTCATGGATATATCATGTATATGAATGGCTGCATTGTCACCTTTTAATTTGATCCAAAATGTTAATCTTTGAAACATGTTTTAGACTGAACTAAAATTCCACGACCTCATGCCTTCGCCAAAGGATTACGACAAAAGATTTATGACTAGTTGTAGAGTTTGAGTTTACTTCCAACACAACAAAAGGAAATCTTAACTCCATAAATTGTCGGTCGATCTCGTCAACGTTCGTCAAATGTGTGATCCACTCGTTGACTCTCTGGAAGTCGGAAGCTTGGGTTTCCTTTCTTTTGCTGGAATTAAGCTCAAACTTTAAAACTATGGATTCTACCAACACAGGCGAACTTTCATTCAAAGAATCATTAATGTTTCACATTGATTATAAAAAAAAGATTCTCACTTATACATAGATTCCAATGTTTTTTATATCATACTTAGAATCAAAACGTGCAGCTAGAACATCATTTCGCCTGCAAGTCAATATATCGCATTTTGGTTTCAGACCAATAGACAGAAAGTGCATGAAATTACAATCTCATACGGTAACCGCAGTAGATTACGAGTTCCACGATACCATACCGTCGCCGAATGATGTTAATCTTTAGAGACTTAAAAATGTTCTACTCAGTCCTACTCATTCATCAACCGCCTTTAAAGGAAACCGTCGAAAAGATTTGAATTGTATTCACTGCTGTGCGTTGGGGGTTATCCCTAAGTCGATTTCTACAGTCTACAGTATTCCGCACGAAACCTTGTGCTCTCCTGTGCGCCGCTATTTCAGTTACATTCGAGCACGTTTCAATCTAGATTTCACGTAAATTTCTACACCATGTACCTAGCCTGTAACAGTAGCTCCTGTCGACTAAAATATGCCATTTTTATCATTTCACAACGCCCGTTTGTCTGCTGACGTAGGATGCAGAGGATGTAATTTTGTACTCGCAGCATTTATCTTATTAAAACAGATCATGTTTCTGACTTGTTGTGACTGCATCATATTCTATAATCACTATAGATACATAGGTACATATTGATGCAGGGAGAGAAAGATTTATGTAACGTGCACGTAGTATATCGTCTAATATAATCCATATTATGCTGGGTTAATATACCTCTGAAAAGTATAATCGATTTTGTAATTTTCATTGATAACAAAACACCTGAATATTGTGCGTGATCATCTACATCATACTGTTCCCGAAATAGATTGTCCGAGCGGATACGATAACCACCAGCCTAGCCAATCTTACCGGAGGACTGGCTACAACGGAGCAGTCGTGACCTGTTCTTCTGACGGCGGAACCCTTGCCATACCCCGCGATACCGTCATTAACACCCAGTTTTAATTATGTTTTAACTAAATAAACAAGAGTTACGAGACCTCACACCTCCATGAAATATGGGATAGATATGTAAATGTTAATTTCTTCTTTAATTATGCAAATGACCTCTGCATTAACATAATATATGCATCGTGATGTTAACTTTTGATTAACTTACAGATGTCCCAAGAATGACATTCCCATCATACACAATTAAGAAATCATAGCGTTTTTGCATTAATTATGGAAATTAGGTCATGATTTGCATAATTAGTATCTGTTGATGTTCCATCTGCCATAGGTTCCATACATTACATGTATGAAAGTACTATAATGTAAAACACTGTAATTATTGAATTTCCTCATTAATTATGCAAATAAAGTCTCCATTTGCATAATTTGCATTTAATCATGTACATCTCTCTCTCAGCTACATACCTACCAAAAATGATGAAAATACGTTGTTCCTGTCTGGACTTATTGGCTTTCAAACATTTCGCCCGAAGGTCCCCTGCAGTTCCAGAACAAGCTGCTAGTGGAACCAAACCCACACCACTTATTCCTGACAGGAAAAGGTATCTGTCACCAAAAATTGAAGACCATAGCATGTTCAGGACAAAAGATACAAAAACCGGAAGTTCTGCTGCAGTACCAAGGTCATCCACCAGGAGGCCCATATTTGACCTTGACCATTGTCTTCCTAAGACTTACCAGCATACATTATTATTATAATACATAAAGGTGTTATGAAGTTATGCTGACTACAAATGTGCGGACACACAAACACACACACAGACACACAGACAGACACACACAGACAGACGCGCCGAAAACAATACCTCCATTTTTCATGGAGGTAAAAAGAAATAAAGTTGTACGGGAGAAACGATGGTTTTAACTATAATCGTATTTTCAACAGTACGGAGACCTATACGGGAGAAACGATGGTTTTAACTATAATTGTATTTTCAACAGAACGGAGACCTATAGAAAGTAGACAGAAAATGGATGTGTCAAGCTATACTACCCACGACAGGTTACTGTCCAAATGCTTCCACCAACCCACTCCTGGCAACTTGACAGGTCGTGGGGTGCGGAAAACTTTACATGGAGGATGGTGCGTTAAGTTCAAACGCTGTTCACTTTAAGGGGGCTTTTTGTCAGCGCATCCTTTAAAGGAGTACTAACCTCCAGAAGGGGGTGCTATATTTCGACAGGCATTTATTTTTGGAAGTGAAAAATACATATTATTTTACAGTATACCATTAAATGCCTATTTTGCGCGCAAGTCTTAAAACGCATCGAATCCAGGACAAACTCTCCAAATACCCTCAAAACTATCCCAGAATACACCACGCTACCCCATTGGTGTCTATGTTTTAAACAAAAAGTTACGTTACAGACGTCATTTCGGGGGCGATAAGAAAAATTCGTACCGTTTTGTGTTCTTTGGTATCCTACCAACCATAGCCCTTCTTGGTGTCCTTATCGCCCCTCATTTATGCCGCAAATATTGACGATGAAAAAAAACGGCGTAATCTAGTTATCCTTTCCATAAGTGGCGTAATCTAATTATCTGTTCAAGTAATACTTACATGCAAATAAGTTGAGAAAATCAAAACACGCAGGATGAAACTGGCGCTCACTGTATTCGACATCCTGATATTAAAATATCCAAGCCACAGGTCAAACAGCAAAGTAAAACAAGTAACTGCTCAATAATCAGCTTGTTAGTGTGCTTGTCTCCTACCATTTTCGCCGAAAAATATGTATGTTGACCTGAAGTGTATGAGTATTGCGTAAGGCAGAGTTGCCGGATGTATCAATTGTGGTTCAGCATGGGGGAAAATGATATAAATATCACTTTACAAACATGCGCCGCGCAAGTCGTACAAGCGAAATTATGTAAAAAGTCGGCTAGTTATGTATTCATTGCAGCATGACGTTTTGGAAAATAGCACTTCCTTCAGGAGGTTAGTACTCCTTTAAGGTGTGCTTAAAGTCACCGTTAACATTCACTGATTCAGCCCGAAGCATCGCCCCTCAAGTGCCGACGTCACGATCGGTAGGTGCCTATTAGTAAGTACTCCTGCTCTGTGCACGTGTCGGGGCTGTAAACTCTAGCTTTACTGTAAAGGTCGATATCAAGTCAATATTACTTGTCATGGACATGTACTCTGGATTATCAAGACTAGGGTCAATTTTAGTATCAATGCAAGGAAGAGGGGAAGGGGGATCTTACCCAACGGGGTTTTTAGTCACTTTACCGGAGACAACAGTTACTCAAGCATCCAAATTGATTTTGTAACCTTTTTTTTTTCTTTAGTGACGCATTACCTGACTGTATTGAACCTCCATCGACGTAGCAGTCACTTCGGTGCTCTGTTCCCGTGTGGGCACTGCCTGTACTGTGTGAGATGAACTTTGTCCTAACACCATCAACACGGCCGGTGCACTTACACAATAGTTCATCTGTCTCATGTATTCTTCACTGTTTTCCCTATTGACACTTGGCGTTATCTGTGCTCATCTCTTACTGCTTAAGTTTTCAAGTGATGTCTGGTTTAACCCTACCTAGACCGGGCTTTTTTTTGACTATGGGGGACCGGGGGGGGG